TCCCACCACCATCATCAATCTTAGAAGGCTTCCCAGTACGATCTTCTCCCATCATGGCTGTTTCTAGAGTTTTTGATTCTGAGACCAGTCCAACACAGTCCAACTGCTCCAACTCCACTCACTTTTTTCTCAAAAACAGCCGTCGAGCGGTGCTGAGAGAGGCCGGGGGGAGGGGGAGTCGGGTATCATGAAGCGACCAATCCACCACTTCTGCCCATTTCTCTCTATCCCCTTCCCGAAATCACAAATGCGGCCCTCTCGTTCAAATGGCGAGCGGACGGTTGACCTTGAGTGTGACTAAATCAAAATTCTCTAGAGCAGTGGTACAATCTGACTGCTAATGATAGCAAAGTAAGAGGGTTGAGGCCGGCGCAACCAATGATTCCTCGTTGGTGCAAAAGCTTCGATACAAGCTTCAAAGGCAACAGACACTTCGGCCAGCTAAGTTCTGTAGGGACTCATTACCAAAGAATTCAAAGCGTCACGGCTACGGTCACCCTCTTCACAAAACAGCTTCCAAATATACTGTGAGCAGTACGAGAAGATGTTCCAGGACGCAAAAAGCCACTTGTTGCAGTACGTTTCGAAGAACCGTGGTAGGGCGATTTAGAAGAAATTGGCTGGAATGAGAACTTGTTTCCCTTGCACTTCATGCGTACCTGGAGCCGTGCGACTACAAAATCGTAGGTAGCTCGAATCAGCCATCCATCAAAAAGCACTTCCACAAAAGGAAAACTTTGATGCCGTCAGCAGTTAGTAGATTCGTCAGCTCGCAATCGCTCACTTTTTGATGCAATGGGAGTCAAAAAACTGTCCAGTACGGAAGAAGTTTGAATACAACAACACAAAGGCGACACACTAACTTCATTTAGAAGGCTTTTTCAAATAAAGAAAGAACAAAGTTAGTGAAAATTTCTCGATTAGACCTGTTAAATTGACCTTGCAATCAGATTATTCTTCTATTTATAAGAAACCCCGGCGCAGATTCTCCAAAATCGCAAGGTATTTTTGTCAAGGTTGCAGCTTTGCCAGCGCATAAAATCCATGAAATGGCCGTTAAACAGGCACTCAAAATACAGTGTTAGGATAATGAGGTCGCGAGCATTTCCAATTGACTCGCAAACGATGGTGAATGGTACGCAACTGAAGTTTTTTGCTGGATCTATTCCAGAAGGACTAACGGACTGTTGGGCGTCCGTTGTGAAAGAGTCCTTACGGCCAATTGTGGTGTAAGATGCTTAGGTCATCGGCCACGGTGACACGGCTAATTAGCTCGCCGGTCGAGTGTTCGCGGGAAGAGAAGGCAGGCAGTGCCAAAATTTGAAGTAATAATGAGAAAATTCCTGACTTACCCTTTATATCATTACATAGTGTTTTCGATGAGTATTCGAATGATATATAACTTTTGAGAGGTTTCCTTTCGATGAAAAAATGTGAAAATTCCTCTCAAACAAGGGCCCGAAATTGACAGCTGGTGGCAGAGAGGAACTTGAAAAGCTTACTATCAGCAGGGTAGGTTAATTAGAAGAGGTGCTCTATTCAGCTAATGTCATAGTTTGGCCCATTCTCCTTATTTTTCGCTTCAAAGATGCAACTTCGTTCCAAAAATGGATTTAAACAAAGTTGACTTAAATAGGGAATATCAGGTATCAAAATGATCAGCATCACCTGAAGAACACTAGTCACTTTTTTTCATACTATTCCAGAAAACAAAAGAAGAAGCGAAAAGGCTTGCTGAATACTAGTGGAAGCTGTTTGTCTCTGGCTGTAATTATAGCGAGCGACGCTCGCTAATGAGTAGCCTCAGGTACTTTGGAATAGAAAAATGAAATTTTCTGAAATCTGAGAGGACATTCTAATAGCACTCGACGAGCTGAGTCTAATGGTATAGTTTTTCATGTCGAAAAGCGATCAGAAATCAAATTATAGCAAAAAGACGAAAAAGACGCGGATCCGCGTCTTCCGCGTCTTTTTTAACAAAGTTATGGGAGGTACTGTACTGTAGTTGCTTCCGTAGACGAAAATGGCTTACACTTTGACACTTCAATTAAGCCCACAAACAAGTCCAAGATAGCGTGTCTTACACACGTTAAACAATGCTGAAGAAAAGAATTTATAGTAGGTTCGCCACTAATGTATAGCGGTGCATAGATATATCATTGAAGATTTCCTTGCTAAACTATCTAAAATCCGCTCTCCGAGTTCTTCGCCCACCATTACTTCCAAACAACCTAGTGTTGAAAGAAACTAGATCACACTAATAACTCAGATAATGCTCCAGCAGAAACCACCGAGTTACGGGCCGCAGCAGTGTCGGCAGCATATGCTGCCGACACGCCCACTCGTCCGTGATTGGCTACCACCACAAAGGTTACTGCGTGCAGACACGAGCCAGCCAGTCAGAGACTAGTGGGCGTGTCGGCAGCATATGCTGCCGACACTGCTGCGGCCCGTAACTCGGTGGTTTCTGCTGGAGCATTATCTGAGTTATAGTGTGATCTAGTTTCTTTCAACACTAGGTTGTTTGGAATAATGTGTCCAACTCAAGCGATTTTAACCGATAATTTACAAGGATCTTCACAACCCTGATACCTCTATCACCCATACTATGGCGAACCTACAAAAATTTTCTTTTCTCAGCAATTGTTTAACGTGTGTATAGAATTTATCTTGGACTTGTTTTGTGGCTTAATTGAAGTGCAAAATGAGATTAACCATTTTTTCGTCTACGATTGCCAACTCCGCAGTATGTGCTTGTCAACCTGAGCAAAATAACGCTGAAGTGGGCTATGCTACATCAAGCTCAATAAAGACCGCACAACATACCCAAATAATGTTGTCCTGAGGAATTCCAATTGGGAGTTCAGCGACATCCTTCCAGCTGTTGCAATGCCTTCTGAAAACTCGGACGAAGATTGAATCCCCATTCATGGATAGCTACACAGGGCACGAGTAAGATAAAATAGCGTTAATATCTTGTCTTCACATGCCGTATGAACGGAACAAGTGCTTGAGTGGGAGACGCTTCAAACATCGAAGTGACGGCGAAACGGCCTTCGACATTCACCGCCTACAGAAGTGCTATTCTCACGATGGTGAACTAGTTGAGCATGAATCCCGTTAAGAAAGATTAACAATGCCCAGTGGTCTTATCCTGAGCAAAAGTGCTACCTCCTGACTAAAAGTGTTACCTCTGAGTTGAGATGTCTCTTTAAAATATTAGGTTGTCCCATGATTACTGAATCACTTGGGTATTTAAATTCAAGTTTTTTCGTCCTTATTCGAAGTCCTTGCTCATTCAAACATACACTCTCTGCATCATACATGTACTCGCCATACATGGGATTTCCAGTCGCCGTCTTCCCTCCGACATGCAAGACTCTTGCGACGAAAATCGAACCCGTTAGGTTGTGTCAGGGTGAATATCGCTTGAGGATTCCCTAACGGCACGTCGAGGATTCTCTGCCCGATCAGAGACGATCTCTCGCGCGGACATTCACACTCGCCATGCCGTGCCGTCTGTGCTCTCCGCGCGGATGTTCACTCTCGGCACTACTCTCGCCATGGTAGAGCTATGGTCGAGGATTTCCTCGACCGTTATTCACCCTGGTGTGGTCATGTGACTAAGATTTAAATTCCTTCCTGAGGAAGAGTGCTAGAGCTCCGACTGTGTTGTCTTTCGTTGGCACGAGGATAGCGCTACACGCGGAGGTACAAGTATTGCTAGCCTAGCAGTCTCCAATTTTTTTAAGAATATTCTTCGCGAGGTGGGTCGAAGTACTTCAGGAATAGCATGATTTTTGTACCCTGCTTTACTATCGAATGCTCGCCGTATATCGTCGACTTGACCCTTACCAAGTACCCCTGTATTACCGCGCTGCGGCAGTTGCAAACCGTTACGTTGGACCGATGTTCACCGCTCTCCGCGCCGGCATTCACTCTCGCCACCCGCGAGCCGTCTGTGTCTCCGTGCGTACGTTCACTCTCGGCATTACTCTCGTCGTCGCGTTGGACTTTGTCCAACGGACGGTTGACCCTGCCTAACGTGCACGTTTATTATGCTCACATCATCATCCCAGAAGTCTCTCCACAGTGATCATCCAGCATACTCACCGGACTTAGAGGAGGTCAGGTTCTTGCTATCAGAACTCCTTAACCGGTTAAGCTAGGCTACTGTTTCTAGGAGATTCGCGCTAATACACTCCACCCAGTCTACAACCCTAGCGAAAATGCTGGATGATCACTATAAGGGACTGTGGGAAACCGGAAGGACCACGACGATGTCAAATCATGTTTGGGGCTGATTCAGGCTCAAAGCATGTGAGATACGAATTCCATAATTTGAAATCTTTACGGCATTAATGGATATGCCTACATTCCATTATCTAGACAACTCGGACACGCTCTGAGAAATAGCGACTACTCTGTCCAGATTCATTGTCTATCTCTGCCGGTCGCAACCATCAGATTACCACCCTTCTTAGTGGCGCTGGGTACAGCAGTGAGATTGCCAGTTGAGGGGTAGTTGGAGTGTGGGTCATCTTCAACTAAAAAAGCCAACCCGGATAGAGTGAACCACAGACCGTGGATTGAGGGAGCGTGCCCTCGCCTATCTGCTGGTTGATCCTCTATGTTGTTTGGCGTTTGAAAGATCCTAATCAGAAGTGATGAAGAAGGAAGCTCAAAAATAGGTTCCAGAAAAATTGATGTAATAGCCACGTAAGGCAGCATGTAAATGGGCTGACTAATGCTCAGGTAGGATAATGTGGGTGCTACTTCGCAAAACATGTTTCACGCCTTCACCATTTTTCTTGGATTTTTATAGCAATAAATGTAAAGTGATTCACTAATTATGGGACAACCATGTAGAAGTTGTGACGCAATACTTTTCACACAACCTAATAAATAGTTGTGCCTCACAATGTACCTACAAGACTACGAAGTATCAAACCCGCTGTTCTACCCAGCTTGGAGAACATTCCTTTTTCCAAAGGCCTTCTTCAATGTTCACTGAAGAAACAGGATTTCCCGTGAACGTGACTTTCAGTAATCAACGTTTCTCCGCGCAGTCTTAAAAAGGCGTAACTATAATCTATGCGTGTCATCTGACACCACTCTGAGGTGTACACGGAACAGGAGAGTTTTCAGTTTCTTACCCGTAGACATTTGCGCTTTCACCGGCGATACGCTGCATTTCCGGTCCAAATCCATCGGCACTCACGCTTACCACGTAGATTTTCACTCCTGAATGGGACTTCCTATAGCCAGATCTCGAATCAGACTAGAGCTATGCTTTAAGAAATACTAGGGAATTAATAGTTATATTATTGTTACACCAAAATATCGGTGAACTCCAACCTCTTTGAAGTCGCAGATGCTCAGACGGTTTCAGCGGATCATCAATTGATAAGCCATCGGTGAAAAGGGCGACGATTTTGCTAGCGTTTCTCCTGGAATGAGAACTAGAACATGCAACATTTGTGAAAGTCAAAGGCTAGGCCAGGGGTCAGGTTAAAGTGTTGTCTCACTCAAATTTAAATGTGCGGATGTAAGGCAAGATGTTGAAGCGAAGAGCGGGCACGGGGGTAGGAAGACCTAAGCTTCAAGGGACTGGCGTCCTACAATTAGTGACGCGCATAGATGTGCAAAAGTGGCGTGATTACTGTAGTTTCGGACCTGGTACCTTGCTTCACGTAAAGGACCTCCTCAGTGACGCTTAGCCCGACTCTTGCTTTTAACTACTATTTCTGGCTTCATTAGTTGTGCTCTAAGGAATTCAAGTAAGAAAGGAGTCTGTAGCGAATAATCGATGTTAAGAGACTACGAATAGAGATACCGGACGTAAGCTGAGAGGTACAGTATGCTGCTTTCAAGCGTGCGTTCAAAAACATTGGGCTATTCTGAAACCAAGCATTACAACCGTCAATTCAGGCAAAAATCGAAACATATCTATCAGTAGATCCTTAGGAAGGAACGACGCATGAGATCTCTTAGTAGTAATTGGCATCAACTTTCCCGCTCAAGCGCATACTAAGGGCAGACGGTATTATAAAATAAACTGAATGCTTATCCTAGCTTCGCATAACCAATAAAATTGCCTGAAACCTACGGGATTGAACTTTTTTGCCCGTTTTCTCGACGAGACCTTAGGATAGATGAGTTCAACGCTGCGAACGGCTCGCTCAACGTTTCGACACTCTCTTCCGCAAGCAGCAAGCTCTCTACCACCTGAACATAGGTCGGTGTAAGCCCTGGGTTACCATTAGGAGGGCCACGTCTCAATGTGTCAGCGGCCTAGCCTCCCTCACCAGGCATATTTCTTTTTTCAAAGTCCAATTTATTGCACCACCTCCCTTTAAAAGTTGTTCGCGAGTATGCACTGACAATTTTTTCCATATACTTTAACCGGCACTCACCTCGCCCCTCTGTCGTCCGTTGAATAGTTCGTCCTCGGCGCGTCTCAGCGCATATCCAGTCCTGGTCACTCCTGACTGGAAGGACATCTCTCGAAGATGATGTACAACGTCATCTTTGTCATTATAAGTGTCGAGACTGAATTCGGTCAGTGGATAGCCAGCATATCTGAGAAACAGTTTCTATTACATGAGCACTTCGCAACTGAGAAATGCTCTGAACTAAACAAATATTTCACAAGAAAAGCATACTGTATCGTAGATAATCGCACAGCTTCCTTAGCAATCGGCAACGCATCGCTGAGAGAGACGGTCCAGCGAATTTGCTCGTTGTATATTTCCTCTCGTATAACTTCGTATAATGTATGCTATACGAACGCCACGTCTCAACCGAAGGCGGGCGACCAACTTCTGAAACAAGATATCGACCTGGACACAGTTTGTTGCTGTTCAAATGAAATGTACTACTAGTAGGTAAGTAAACTAACCATCGTCTTGTTCTGCTGCTGCGCAATAAAGAACAGAGATAACGGAAGACAAAGGAGTCCACTTGTGGGTCATTACTAAAAGTTAGTGCTCATTTTCGTGGAGAAAAACGTAAGCACGAAAAAGTGGGTAGTAAACAGTAAAAAGAAGCAGAAAAAAGGAAGAGAATTGAAGCAATGCATATACAGGGGTGGCCAAAAAAAAGGACACTTAGCCCATGGCGCACATCATCGAAGTTTTCGTCCACAGGGTGCCGATGTTAATGAAAGTTTTACGAAAATAATATTTCTAAGATATTCCCATGTAAGCACGAGCAGGCCCTCCTTCACTGCCCCCGTCGTCTTCAGAATAAGACGTCATGTGCCGCCACCAGGGTGAAAATCGTGTCGAGGAAATAACCGCCTCTTTACGACCCCCCTCCAAAACATGAACTCTGATACGACCCCTTTTTGTCCTCTGCACATCCGGTTTCATATCAAAAAATGCTAGTTTCAGATGTGCGAGAGGGACGCAGCGCCGCTGCCACGCAAATGCGGCTTGATCCAAATGCTAGATTCAATTCTGCTCAGATTAGGTCTCCTTCTTTCCTTTAAAGACATTTAACCTTTGCCACATTGGCCGGAAAGTAGAACATTGAAGGAGGTACTGCCCCTACACAGTTGAACAGTCTCTCGCGCTCCAGTATAGCGGCGCTAACTACCCGCGATCGCGTCGCGCGCTGTGCCTAGAGCGCGCTAGTTGGAAAAATCGTCAAATGTACCCCCTATTCAAAGGACTATAACTTTCTTCATTGATAACCATTTCAGAAAGTGAAGGCAGCTTTTGAATGCACAAGACTTCTAGTTTCTAAATTGTGCTGAGCGTTTTTCTAAGCACGCCTATTCTCGAGAGTGGGAGACGTCGAGAAATTGTCGAGGAAATTGAAATTTACATGCGAGTTCCCACTCTTTGAAAGCAGTAGCTGTCTTCATTGGCAATGCTTTGAAAATCGGAGGAAAGCGTTGTAAAGTAGAAGATTTACGCTTTCTGATAGGTGCTCCAGTTGTTTCGAACGCTTTCTAGTTCGCGAGAAATCTGCGTCGAGGAAATGTCAAGGAAATTTTCGAAGCCACTCGAAAACTCTATTACTCCCTTGCCGTAGTAGGGAACTTCTTTGAACACCTTCAAAATACTTCTGTACGCGTCAGTTCGATGGAGTAAATTGAAAATGATGCACTTGGCGCAGATCCATTCCGTTCTTGTATGCGCCATGCAGTGACCCCACTCGGAGTCATTGGGAAGGTGTTTTGTCCTAGTGACGACTTGCTTAATCACACCAAAAGATATTTCCAGTATTAACTAATTAGAATAACTTTTGTGGTCATAGTGATGTCTGATCACTCCTTTATTCAAATCGCTTCCTTTCCAACCCGTTCTGATGAATGACAGCTTGCGGGCAGGATCTGATAATGCCAAGAAGGCTGCGAATCTGCCTGTTTTGAACTTTCTACCAAGATGCTGTTCCTCCACTAAGTTCTCGAAGCATGTGCATCATTCTAGAGTAGATACTCGCTGCCCTTTCCCTACGATTCTTTTGCAGGACGCGTTGCCTTCCTATGCCATACTGATCACTACGAACCAAACCAACAACCACTTGTAAGATGTTATTTGCATTAGGCTAAGTACAACACTTGTGAAACTAATGATGACAGCAAATAAGTGGCAGCAGCACCGTTGTGTCCGTTGATGAACCTTTTGATTACGACCCCCTCCCAACTCTCATCGGAGCAAATACGACCCCCTGTCGAGGATTTCCTCGACCGTTATTCACCCTGGCCGCCACCGTCGAGCTCAACGAGGCTTATGGTAATCGCTCCGGCCTGAAGCTGCTTCATAATTTCTCTTCAATGGTTTAACTGTTGAATAGCTTCTTAGAGACATTAGCTGTGACTATGCAAAACCGCTTTTGACCAGCGTTTCAGGGACGTCGTAATGGTCTATGGTACCTCGACGACCTCCGTTGAGCTCGTATCGCAACCATTTTCCGTGGGAAAAATCTTCTGATGTCAAGACCGGCTGTCATGTTATGTTTAGATAGATTAGAATGTGCACTTTAATAGTAATTTAGGATCAGTCGATTTGATTCTAGCAAAGTGCGATTAACACTGCCTGAAATGTGGAGTGAAGTGTCTCTTTTTTTGGCCACCCTGTAGACTGGTAGATTATGAACCAAAAAAGTTTTGCTTTTCTTCATCTCAGTTGCATTACGGCAATATTCACACTCAGGTACCAATAAAGCCCTACCACCGGCCCTGCTCTTGAGCTCGAGATAGTTTTGATTTTCCTTTTATTGTTCTGCATCTTTAGACTTTCATATATGGTGGATATTCATACGACCTTTTATTGTTCTGCATCTTTAGACTTTCATATATGGTGGATATTCATCACGAGGCAACCTCAACTTCAAATCAACGCGCTGAAACAATCCCTAAACCCAGACTATAGATCTAATTCTTGCTGACTACCGGGAGACTTCAGATGCCACGAACAAAGGAGTTCTTTCAGGATGTGTAACGCTTTTTCAAAACGGTTTTCCGCATTCCATGGGAGCTCATACGTAGACTACGAAATCAAAGGTCCATGTTCGCTGAGCGATCCCCGTGAAGACCAAAAAGAAATGAAGAAATGGTCCATGGTTCAATTTATCCAATTGAAATTATGCATTATAGATTGGAGCTTCCAAATTTTATTCATGAAGAGCACCCAGAGTATCCAAAGCTACAACAAACAATTTCCATACTCGCTTGGTTCCCTTCTAAGACATGTAGAGCAGCCGGGTCGAATTACCGTATCGCAATGTCCCTTTCCCCCCCCCCTTACCTGCGCTTGCGCCACCTGACATATTGTAGTTAAATTATTGTTGCATGTGCACGTACAGAGTGGACTAGAAATTATGGCAACACAGGAAATTTTTATTCTGAAGCCCATAGACCCCATCAAGGCACGGCCCCTCATCCGTTTCGCCCTTTCGCGTCGTACTCTTCCCTCCGCGCTCATTCTCTTATTACCATAGTGCAGCCGCATTACGAAGACGAACAAGCCCTTGACTAGAGCATTCCGACAGATTCGTTTCCTTTCTTCTTTACTAGACTCATCCAGCACCAATACTTTCATATTCGTGTGCAGGAAGGACACCAGTTTGATTCTGGGGCATGCCTTTAGCGCAGCTTTGGGCATCAACTCATTGTTCCCTAAGGAACGACATTCAATATTGGCATTCAAATCCATCATACCAGCAACGAGGCGGGGGCCTTGAGCCGTGAGGGGAAGTCCATCATGGCAAGGGCAGCCGTAAGTATTCCGGATTTCTGAGCGATCATTCACACTATGCCTCCTAGCACTTCATATACCCTATTGTATTCGGATTCAAATGGTGAAGGTGAAGGTCTACTCACTGAACTCGATGGAAGCTGGAATGCTAGTCTTATGTTATATTTGAAGATTCTCTGATCTGTGGGTAAAGCTCCATCGTGCTAGCGTCTAGAGCTGTTTTGAGGCTCAAGCGAAACAAGTGAAGTAATCTTAGGCAAAATTCATGGCTGATGTCGATATTCTCGAGCATTACGCGATCCGAACGGTTTCAGTTGCTAACCCTTTCGATATTAGCTCGTACGAAAAGAGCTGACCGCCTCTTACGTATTGCTGTTGTAGGCCAGCGCATTTGGTGATCCAAGGATTTCGGAGATGATGCACAATTTCGAAAAGCCACTAGATTTGGATCAATATCCTGTGACAGCACACAAATCGGGAAATGCTGCAGTACACAAAAAAAACTGAATGAAAAAATTGAGGAGTTAACGCGATCGCGGCCATCGTTTGCACTGTAAAAGCAGAACCCTGCTTCGAAGGTTAACACCGAACTCCATGAGCAAAAGGCAACTGACGTCGAACCAAACAGGGCAGCGACAAACGCAAACATCACAAAATGCCTCAGTATTTCCAGGTAGCATTCGAATACATCTGGCAACTACTGTATTAATTTGGTAGACTGTAAGTAGAACGCTCCTCCCCTTCGGCATAATACAATCCTGGAAACTTGCTCATCTGAATGCTACCTAATCCAAGAAGAAAAGGATTTTCTGGAGCAGAGCTGATTTAGAACGCTCAGTATTCGTCTGGAGGTGATGAATTGTGAAAGAGCCTAGTGGGAATTATTCTTCAAAACGAGATGTTGAACTGTGTTAGCTAAACAAGCTTCATCGCTACCTCATTCGCCCTCCTTTTCAGGTTAGCCTGGTAAACCTCATGTTTTTGATTGCTGGTTCCACTGAATCATAACAAGTAGTTGATAGATTTCATAGAGTCGCGCTATGCACACGCTAGACTTGATACAGTTTCTACATGCATGAGTGAAGGGTTTTGATCCTTCTGGACATGTGCAGGATAAAAACAAGAAGGTTGTTAGGACCATAGTTTGCCGCTGAATGGCATGCAACGATCTGCGGATAGAAAAAGGTTAAAAGTAGTATCTTTGCACCTAAAGCAGCCGAGCACTCCAGGACAACCGTGGCTATATTGAGGCCATCAGTGATGGAAGTATGATCCAAAGGGAAGGATTCAGGAAA